TTCGAGAAACCGGGTTGGCTGCCAAAAGCGTCAAGCAATTTGGCCGCCTCCATGCTCGCAGGTGAACTGCCTAACTCATTGAAGAGTACATGGTCGGAATTCTCATCTCGGACATTATTCCCCTGGAACACTGTCCGGCCTTTGAACTTCCGGCGAGGATCCGACTCTGAAAACTCAAATCCTTTTTCGTAGCAGGCCTCGAAGATCCGTCCAAAGTGAACTGTGGTGCCATTGCGACGAGCCTCAGCTACTATGTCACACGGCATTCACGGAGGCGCTTCTCATCCCATACACCCTTGTTTCTCAGGGCTTTCCCACTCTTTGTCATGGGCAGCTTTTGCTTTGGGATTGCTGGCAATTTCGTCCTTAGACACTAACCTAGGACCTAGCAACAGAAGCGAAGAGCTCAAGTGCTACTTTAAACTCGAGTTCCTTGATCTTCTCCTTGACCAGCTCACGGAGCTTTGGCCGGTGTTCCTCAACGGCAGGTGCAGCTACTTTTGGCATTGCTGGCACGGAAAATTTCGGAGACGCAGGCGGGATGATTTCCCGTTGATCGCCGAGTAGCTTGGCTTTGGCAGGAGAGCATTGAGTTGCCTCAAGCTGAGCTACGGAAGTTATCTTCTTTTTGCTCTTTAGGCCTGACGGCGCAGACTTGCCCCCCTAAGCCTCTGCTAGTGCTTTTGCGTCTTCTTCCTCGATGAACTTTTTTGCGCCCGTTTGATCCTATAGCATCTTCCACAGTTCTGAGTCTATGCCTTCCGGACGTCTTGAACTTTTGCAATTACGAACAATCCGGTGACCACCCAATGAAAAACATCTCGAATCACTTCACCTTTGGGGTCAAGCCGAGATCTGAAAAAATGGGCTCCTCCGGTGCATCAAGCTCGACATCGCTGTCGGCTGGTAGAGGGGCCCCAGGTTCGCATTCCAAACCCTCAGGTGGCGGATGTATGCTGGATTCACGCGGCACTGCTTTGGGAGTTTGTGGAATCACCTGATCCTCAGACGATCTGCTTTGGGCGACTTCGAGTCATCAGAGTTTTCAAAGGAAAGATGAAACCCTCAGATGGTGTTCTTTGGATTGAAAGTGCACCCCAATTGACATGATAATCGGCGGCTTCCAACTTGGCAACTAAGTACTCACCCTTCCAATCATGACCTGGTTGGATGTAATACCCACAAGGAACAAACTTCATTCGATGTTGGGGAAAGCTCACCTGCTGTGTTGTCTACCCTTTTGGGGTTGTTCCAGAACAACACTTTGGCTCCAAACGGGATGTGCATTGCAGGAAACTCTTCACCAAACCTGAGTTGCCACGGTGATTCAGTGCCGTCAAGCTGGGGGCTATCATTGATTGCGGTTGCATGATGCTGCATTGCGAGAGACAACATTTTGAGCGTAAGTCCAGACTGCAACAAGTTGCTCCGGGCACCTCCTATAACATCTGTCGAACCTCCCGCCCCGCAAATGATTTTGATGAATCAACATAATGCTGTGTTCCTGTTGTTCAGGGGTTTGCTTTGCATCTAGGGTTTTGGGTTTCACCTCCATTGCATCAGCAATCTGTGACCTTGAGGAGCTACCTCCCAGTGGGTGAAATATAATACACGTCTCACCGCAATAACACAAGCTGCTCGCAGCTTTCACCAGCAGTGCAATGCAAATGCTAGCAGTTTTGCCAGCATCAACATTGCGCCAATGCTAGCAGTTTTGCCAGCAGCAACATTGCGCCAATGCTAGCAGTTTTGCCAGCAGCTAACATTGTGCCAATGCTAGCAGTTTTGCCAGCAATCTTGATCCAATTAGAACTCCTTGGGCCAACTAGTAAACATTAAAACCTTTTTTTTTCCAATCATAACTCCTTGAGCCAGCTAGTAAACATTAAAACTTTTTTCCCAAACATAATACTTTATAATCTATATCTATATATGTATTATCTACAATATACACATTAAACAAGGTCGAACATGGTTTCTTTGCACCAATGCGTTTGATGCTTCATGCGTTTCTCCCTTTCCAACCCTTGCAATCAAACTCACACTGCGGAAGAAACACTGTTGGAACGCAAAGTGATGCTTTTTTTCGCACATCGAGCGGGGTTTGTCATCACGCTTCACTTTCGCAACCGGAAGCTAAACACATGCTCTTGCTGGCATCGCACATCAAAAACTGTGATCTTGGTTGACCACTCCTCTTCGGTGCCCAGTTCCGAGGTCTGAGCTATATACCGCAGCTCTTCTTGAAAAACTATGTCCAACCCAGGAAGTTTCAAGACCTTGGCATGGTAAAACCATTTTAAAATTTCTTGGACTGATTCGTCCTGAGCGTCTTCCAGCGGTTCCCAAAAATCAGTTGGCATTGAGCAGCAATATTCATACTTCTCAGCGGGTAAATTCCACCTGACCATTCATCTATGCCTCAGTTTGACTTGGTTATTTTTTAAAGGCATGGGTTTCAGTAAATAAAACTGTTTGAGCTGTAATCATACCAGGGTACCAAGCCAGAAGAGGGTTGCCATACTAGTACGCGGTGATTTGGAGCAGAGTAATCAGTGTGCAAAAACTGCAGTAGACAATCTAAGATGATAGGCAGCAAATGTATCCGACATCATCCAACATCCACTGACAATCATTTGGGTTGAATGAAATGTAGTAGACATGTGTTTTCCTTTTTTCCGGCTGCAGGTTCAACTGACCAGCCAACTAGGGGCATTCTTGGGATCCCACCGAAACAGTTTTTTTTGTCCAGGCGTCTAAACTTGTTTTTCACAGCTATCTAGTTGACCGAATGCCCCAAAAGGCCCAAATTGTCAAAACCCGGCCCTTGGCCCTTCATCCCTCAGAGAGATTTGCAGCGAATCATAGCCAAGCAAGGCCTGCCAAGTTGGATCTAAATTGGATAGAGGGATGAATAGGGGATGAATATAAAGGGATGAATAGGTATCTAATAGGGACGAGTAAAGGGATCTGTAAAGGGGTTCGTTGAAAAAGGAATCAGCACAGGGGTAGAAAATAGAATGAACACAGCTGAGGGCATGTTGCACTTAATGATCAAAACCTGACTGAGCCTGTTTATCGCTGAATCAAAAAATGGATCGGTGATGGGCTGATACAACCAAATTTCGGATCCACACTATTCCACACTAAATGATTTTGTGATATGGAGGTTGCAAACATGTGGAACATATGGGATATCAACTTGAGATACTTGAGGCTATTGAGACTTGGAGATGTTTGAAAAACCAAGCCTCAGCTAACGTCTTGATCATCTTCGGGTTCCTCTTCCTCACCCCCTTCCATGTCATCACCCAGCTCAGCAAGGGTCGTGTCATCTGCCGCTTCCCCATCATCCTCAGCGTTTTCCTTGTAGGACTTGACCATGGCATCCTGAGAAAAACAAGATCAACAAAGGAGCAAATAGGAGCCACTGATTTGTCATGACATTCAGGGCCATGAGAACTCACTATCTTTTGAAAGTTTTTTCAACATTCGTTGAGACAATCCGTCACGATAGTTGAAACATGGTTCAATTAAAATTTTAATCCAAGTCACGACCAAGTCTTGAGCTTTTGTCAAATCTCCTTCCGTTCGAAGCAGTTCCGCCTTCACAGCATCCTGGGTGCAGCATGGTTGATTTGGATCTGATCATGGTGGTGTAGGAATTTGGAGAATCTAAAACCTTGATAATTTTATTTTCAACAATTTCTGTTGAGAATGTGGTCGGATTGTGTTCCTATTTCACCCCCATATCGAACATGAAACATGGTCAACTTCAATCCTTCTCGGTGCCGAGCATCCGCGATGGTCTCGATGACATCGGCATGAAGGCCCTCTACAGGCTTCACCTGGGATAGGGTCGGACAGGGAGGTGTGGAGAAGAGAAATGGAAAACAAACCGTGTTCAAAACATTTCAAAACTGATTGATTTAGATGTGACATGATGTGACCATGTTTGAAGACCAGTCACACCAAACACTTCTTTGCCTTGGATTTTGAAGCCCCACTTGCCATTCTTGTACATGTACTTGCACACGGAAAACTTCTTTGCGGCTGGCTCACGGGAAGCGGCTGGACGCTTCAAACCCTTTGTCTTGGGGGTTTTGTCAACCTGATCCTTAGCACTCGGTTTTTTTTTGGGAACTATGTCCTCTTCCTCGCATTCTTCAACCTCTGACAGTTCCTTTTCTTTGGGCTCACCCTTTTTCTTTGGTTCGTTTTTTTTTGTTTTCGGTCCATTCCCTTTGCCCTTTGCGGCTGCTTTGTGGACAGCCGCCTTTGCTTTCGACTTGGCACTTGACTTTGATGACTTTGCAACTGCCTTTGGTTTGGGGTCAGAAGCGCTTGCCTCCTTGTTTTTCCCGGGCGTGTCTTCATCAGAAAGTTGATCGACTGACGCCAAAACCATTGCTGTAGCTACAACGCTTTGAAAACCAAACATTGTAGCTTTTGATTTGGGAAAAACTGAGGAAAATGCAAGTGTCAGTCAACTTTGAATGAAATGATGTGACCTAATTGAAGCAATCAGCTTTGATGTAATCAAGTTTGAGTTGCAATCAAAAAAGTGATTTTTGACGATTTTTGGCATGGGACGTCCAAGCTCTCACCCTACGGCACCGCCGATCCGCGGTGGTCAGCCCAGAAAGATTGGGAATCTCATTTTGAGTTCAAGCATCAGTGTATCTACCATTGACGTGGCACGGGATCCAAATTGATCCAAAATGACTTTTTTGGGTACAGTTTTTCTGGTATGAAGATTGTTTTAATCAACTGTTCAATCCCTGGGGCCACAGTCCAAAATCTACGCACTGAAAACCCTGGTCCTCTCATGATGGTATCACTTCAGCTTCACAGCACTGGAAGCAGCAACGCTCAGAGCCCCCAAAAGGAAAAACTTTGGTTTCAAAGGGGTCAGATTGCAGGGGATGCTTTCTCCGATCTTCACCTGCCAGGCAAGCACTGCTGACATGATGAACTTGATCATCCACTGACGCTAGGTGTTAATCGTGCAGGGAGTTGAGGGAAAAAATGTTAAGACAATAAATGTTGGAATTCAACATCATTGATTCTATGTGTTTATGTTTGGAACATTGGGCCTCCCATATGACAGTGCAGTGCGTTGCCTTTGGCAACTGATGCAACTTTCCACACCAAAGCGCCCCGAACTGCGCTGCTCGCAAATGGAGTCGGTCGTCCGTAGAGGCCAGTTCCCGGGGCTTAAAGGCATTGATTTTGGGAGCAGCTTGGATCACGTAGCGATAGCACATGGGAGTCTGCGACCCATCAGCGTTCACCTGTCACAGTTTTGATGTTTTTTTTGTCCCATGTGTTCAACCACAGGACAATGTGTGAAATAAAGAGGTAGGCATATTATATATATATATTATATATATATTATATATATATGTAAGTGTATATGTATATGTTTATGCAAATGAACACCGAGGTTTCAAAAAGTGTATATGTGAATTTTAATCCAAGCCTTCATTTTTGCAGTCATTCCGTGGTCTACCATCCGGATCTCCGGAACTCCCCGAGTGCGAGCAACATCGCATACTGCGTCCGCTATGGTCATGATTTTTTTCTCAGATCCCACCAAGCACACCAAAGTGCGGTCATCAGTGACATGCCAGGGAATGTTTGCCGTTTGCGAAGCATGTTGATCTAGCAGGGTCAGGGCAACATCTACTGATCCCCAACAACTTTGTTGGATTTTGTTGGGTTTGAACATTTTTAAAACCACAGGTCCTGAATTGATCTCCGCATAGACACCAGTGTTGAATCCGAATAACTCACCAGGGGCCAAGTCAATCTTGTTGGGTGTCCGGTTCACAACCCACATTGACCCCAAACTGGTCAGCACAATCTCAAGGTTGGGCTCCCGAGTAATGGTAGTGGCAGCTTCCGGCCTCAAACTAGTGATAAAGGATTACTACAAAATCGTCCCTTGAATTTGAGGGGAGTAAACAAAAACAACACATACAATGATACAATCTGAAAACAAGCTGATGGTGCGTGTTGCTGGAGTCAAAGTCAGCCACTGAGATACCAGCAAGCGACAAGGTTTTGCGCCAATTCAATGGGGTCTCATTCTCCCACTGAGGGCTTCCCATGGTCCGGCTTTGCGTTGGCCCAGCTGAGGAACTTCCAGACTCGGTCATTTGGATGGCCTTCTGCACACTGGCATCTTGGCTGATCTTCTCCTCGATTTTCTTCAGGGGCTCGTGGTGGGTTGCGGCGAACTTCTGCTGCACCATGTCTGGAACCCTGAGAGTGGATTTCCCAACTGGATTTTGTGTATTGGTTGGTTTGAGATTGAGGGGATGTGTATCTATAAAACTGTAATATATATATATATATATGTGTGTGTGTGTCAAAGCTATTGGACCAACTAGATATGAGAGGTAGGTAGGTAGATAGATTAGGTAGGAAGGTAGATAGATAGATCAAAAGATAAACAGATAGATCGATCGATAGATGGATAAAAAAATAAACAAATACATCATCAAAATAATCACATATGTATATGTCATTTATGGTGCCATACAATCCAACATAAAACAGGTATATGTTGTATGGGATATAGTGGGAAAATGATACCGTTTTCAACAGACAGATTCCTTGGGGAATGTCATGGGGCTATCACCCAACAAATTTCAGGATCTATGCAAACAAAGTGGCTTGACTCCCCCATCACTGATGGCTAAGCATTCCAGCGTAGGACATTCCAGGGCAAATGGCTCAGAAATTCGTGCTGCTGGACCAGCTTCATCAGATTTGTCCCACCACTGACTCAGGGCCCTCCCGGTGATCAAATCCTTGTTGGCATCCATCCAATGCCCATCAGAATCGTGGTAGACACCCATGAAATGAATGTCCCATTTGTTGCCACCTTCTTCACCAAGAAGGTAATCACGCTGCATCTCCCATGCTGCTTGGGACCATTCGCAGAATCTGGCATCAGGGATAGCTGTACTTTCAATTTTGGAAGTTTGATCCAACAAAAAACTGGATAGATGTTTTTAAACGAGCTGGCCTCGAAGGATTCAAGTCAACGATCAAGACCTTTTGACCATCACATTCATTCATTCCTTCGAGCATCTTCATGATGATATCCTGGGTGGCCTTGATGCCTCTTTGCTGAACCTTGCTGATCATGATTGAGAAACATACTTTTTCAAGGGGTGTGCGAAATTCATCCCATGGTAAAACAAAATGTTTGGAAACTAAAAAAATGTTTTTAAACCGTTTGAAAATGATCGGAACACAAAAATTCATTTCCAAGAAACACGCCAGTGCGGTGCCAATGCCTTGTCGACATCTGGGTTCTGTAGATCTTGCACACGGGCCCTCTCCACACCGCTCACGGATCCAAGCAAGGCCTTGCTCTTCGTGAAAGCGATGGCGCTGTGGTTGCCAGAGACTCCAGCCAGGCCTGGAGAATCGGAATGGTGATCAAGATATATCAAGATTGTTTAAACCAGAATGTTTAAACCAGATAGATTAAACCAGAATGTTCTGAATGGGGCCAAAGAGCATTGCTGGCTTTTTTTTCTCCGGTCCCCCTGGTGCTGTGCATCTGTGAAGTTCACCGCAATCTCGTACGTGTCAAGGCCCCTTTGTGTTAGTTGGATTGTCAAAGAAATTGAATGAATTCACGAAAGGTCCCCAAGAATAGTTCTTTGGAAATTGCTAAATGGTGGGCCAGGATTGGAAGAAATTGATGGTAACATATCCAAAGCAAGGCACCCAATGACCTTATCTTCCAATAGCCGGCGATGCTTCAGAGTTGCTGCCTTTGCTGAACTTGAATGCCACTGCGGTAGTAGCCAAAAGCTGACCGTGTTGGCATTACCCGAAGCCACACTCTGGGCCAAATTCACAGCCTCATCGATTGCCAGGGCTCCTGAACAATTGGGTGGATCAATTGAGAAAGACTCTATGGATAAACATTATCATCCCATATTGAAGAAGCAACTCCCTTCTGTTTTCCTTAATGCCATCTCAGGGGCGCGATGGCCACAGGGTAAAGTCGCCCACCAGGATTGTCAACCTGTATAGGTGTTCAACATCAGTTCATGAAATGTGGGGTAATTCATTATTTGGAATGATGATGAATTCTTTCATTTTGGTTGATGTCACTGAAAACAATATACAATGTCAGCTGAGAAACCCAGTGCTCCCATTTTTGGCCTGTTGCTGAACAAGTGGAGCATGCGCCAGAACCAGCGATGACACCCGTGTCACCTGATGCTTCTTGTTCATGAACTCCTCAACCGATGTGCGACCCTTGTGGTAGCGATCGTTGATGTGCTTCCAGTCCAACCCTGCCTTTCAATGGGAATGGAATAGAATGCGTTCAAAGGTATATATTTATTCTACGTTCTTTGAAGCTAGTTCACCCCGAATTGAAAAAGGTAGGATGAACATGGGATGTTTCGACAACCCAAACCTGCTTGGCTGCGTAGACTTCGAATTTCTGGGCCCAGTCCCGCAACTTGACCATATCACTTTCACATTGAAGCTCTGTCTGCTGGAACGTCGTGTTCAGCAACTGTGCGGAGAGCCTTGTTGATTCACTGAAGTGCTCTGAGAAACTACGCCCCTTAATTTGTGATTTTGATATTTTTGGATGCCCCCTCAAACAAAAAAATGACCATTGCCAACGGAAGGCTGTTCAGCTCGAAGACTGGTGGCTTTCTCCACCTGGTGGGGTTTTCCTATTAGACATGTTGTCAATAATGTCGTGATTTTTTTAAAACAATGTTTATCCTCATGGCTTGTGGACTTGTGGCTGTGGTTGATCACATGAACCCGCACCTCATCTTGGTACCGTTTCAACGGTTGCAAGAAGATTCCGATCTTGGCCACATCTGCAGGTGGAACGGTATGCTCGAGGAGTTGGAGGATGTCCGCATCAGCATGCCGAAGGTCGAACCTGAGGGCAGCAGAAAAGCAACGGTGGAACAGGTATGGATAATCTTTGGAAGCAACATCTTAAATTAAACATAGTTAAACAATTGGAAACAATCCATGAAAGAATATGAAAGAAATCAACTTCTCACAGGTTCTTGGCTAGAAACGCTTTCTGGATTTCAGGCATCACTGTGCTCACGAATCGCTGGGGCACCATGTTCTCAAATTGCTCGATGCATGCTAGATACCCACCGCATATGCGCTGAAGGTTGGTCTTGGCATTTTGGAAGCCCTAAAAGAAAATATATTCGCCATGTCTTTTAGGGGGCATCCCAAGAAAACCCAAAAATCATTAACAATGGCAAGCTATGTTTGAAGGTCAACCAAGATTCCAGATCCTTCAGGTTCCATGCCTTTCGCATTTTGGGGGCCATTGCAATCCAATCGGTTTCCATACGCAGGATCATCACATTCAGCAGCGCGTGGCTGTTCGTGAGGTGGGTCTTCCAGGGGACCAGGAAGCCAGTGGCTGTGCAGTGCCCATGATTTAACAGCCCCTCTGCCAAGCCATCGTGCGTGATGAACTTGGGCATGGTATGGACCCTTAGAAGATTGGCCACTGGTAGGTGGAAAAACTTTCTGACTTTCTGGGGATCAAAGGCTGCATTTTTGGTCATTGGTAAATATTGGGAACACCTATGAAACAAAATTATTTCCGAGGATCCTCACAAGCTCAGTCAGGGATTCTTTCACGTCCTGTGGGATGAACTTCAGCAAGTTGATTGCTGCTGCTGATTCCTTCTCACCCAAAGAATAAGCTTGGGCAAATGCTGACACCGACTCATGTGCCTGATTCAGGGAATATCCCAGACCCAAAGAATAAACAAACATATTTCATTAGATGGGTTCGTCGATGATCAACATTATAGCAATGTATGGGGTCACCACTGTTTATGTATGTATGTATGTATGCATGTATGTATGTATGTATGGATGGATGGATGGATGGATGTATGATGATGTATGTATGTATGCATGTATGAATGAATGAATGAATGAATGAATGAATGAATGAATGAATGAATGAATGAATGAATGATAGAAAGAAAGAAAGAAAGAATGAATGAATGAATGAATGAAATGAATGAATGTAATTTATAGTTATGTATACATATATGTATATAAAAATATTTGTATATATATATATGTGTTACTTAAATATATAAATAAATATATATATATATGTATAATTGTATACATGTGCAGATATGAATATATACCTATATACATATATATATATTATATATTTATATGTATGCAAATCTCGTTAGGTGAGCTAATTTGCCGATTTTCACGACATGTCCCATCAAACGCCTCCAAGCTCTTCACGGTCATGTCTTGGGACATTCCAGATCGTTCCAAGAACTGAAGCTGGTGCAAGAGGTTGAAGCAGTTTGGACGACGACGGACCAAACTGCCAAGGGCCACACCTAACATAACACGTGTGACAAATGCTGTTCAAATTTTGATGGCAAACTTTTCCAGTACACACATGTTCATTGAACAGTTTTCCAAGAACTGTTGCATCATGTTGCATCTGATTTCAGCTAGATGACCGCGGTTGGTGCTAACGATGTAGCTGCTGTCAGACCGAACTGCGGTTGCATACACCACCTTGAATGACCTTGGTTCATTGTTGGTATCAACACGTTCTATGTCACAAAAGGTTTGAACATCAATCCAATCAAATCTCAATCAACTTGAGTGATTGAACATCAATCCAATCAAATCTCAATCAAATTGAGTCAGGACACTCCCGCACTGGATCGGGCAACTCCTCTCAAGAATCAAATTGAATTTGACATTTCGGAATTTCGAATGTTGACTCTTCATGTTGTTTTGTAGTGATGAGGGAACCCCTCCTGAAGTAACTCCGGCTTGTCAAAAGCAGCGTACAAGATGCCGAGAGCGCACAGGCTTCTGTTGTAGCCCTTCACAAGGAAGATTTGGCCAGGACCTGCTGCACCTGGGTGGTTCAAGTCGGCGCTGGTCAGTTGGGTTGGCGGCTTTTGCAACCATGAAGTCTGAACGGAGCAGGCCACCAACTTCTCCACACCAGGGGTATTCGGATTCGTCTGGAATCCATTGAGAAGTTCCAATTGGCACAACTGATGTTGCACTTCCTTAGATAAGATTGTACAAGTGACAAAGATAAGATGGGATTGAACAACAAACATTGATAAGACGGATTCAAACAAAGGGTCTCCATCGCTGGTTCCACGAAGTCCAAAGTCGATTCTATGGGGCAGCATGTACGGCCGAAGGAACAAAGAAGTACCTTCCTGGGCCAGGTCCGCTTCCGAACTGTAGGTCCTGGGTGTGAAACACAAAGGGATGGGCTATTTCTTGAAGTAACTTGGATCTTAGATCCAGACACACTTGGATCTCGTGGGAACTCCGTCTCAATCCATTCGTAAAACTCTTTCTCCTTGTCCTTCGAAGTTGCAAAAATATCCAATGGTTGAAATGTGAGCTCATCATAGGTGACATTCAATCATGCAAGGACATATGCATGGCAAAATTGTTGATTGGATTCCTCATGGAGCAACTTCTCAGACAAGAACAGGTCCAAGGTCTTGTTCTTCTGGGTCAGATTTTCATTCCTTAGCCAGGGCTGAGTTGTGTTGAAAAGTCGGAATGCTGGGAATAACTTGAGTAAATTTGTGATTGAACTTTATAATATCCCACATATTATTCAAAATATAAAATGTTTGAAACCACCAACCAGACATGATCATCGCATTGGGTGCTGATAAGCTACGCCCATTCATCAAAAAGCCGAATGTGAGGAAGCAGCAAAGCATCCGGGGGAACTTGCAAGGCGCCCGGCTTGCCTTTCTTTGCCGCCTTCGCCTTTGCAGGCGCCCCACCACCCGATGGTCGCTTTGGCATCACCTGGCTGAAATGGTACAAGCCAACCCTGGTTGGGCAACTTTGTGAATGAATGAGAATCACAAGAAATATTTTGTGAATGGTGGATCATGCACAAACTGCACCCCTCGGTGAACATACCATTTTGTGCCGGATCACGACCCGATCATGCACAAAACCTGTTGGTTTTCAGGGGGACACCCAAGTTTTTGGGGGAAGGATTTCAAAACCTGTGGGTCCAGGGGAATTACCTGGGGTTTTGTGCCGGATCACGACCCGATCATGCACAAAACCCATGGTCAAAAGAGGTGCCCGATTTGTGAAGAATTCACTATGCACAAAATGTATTTCTGAAAAACCAACCATGCACAAAACTAGCTCATTTCACTCAAGATCGTTTTCCCCACGGGATCTTTTGAAAGCGACGGGTTCCCTTTTAGAACCCCACAGGACTTTGGCATCATATAAGGGCCCAAGATGCTTTAAGTCAAGATATTGTATGGCAAAAATGTTTGCAATTTTCCTGATGTGTTTCTGTCGCTGGGCCCCCGCTTTTGCGATTCCCCCGCAAAGCTACTGATGCACTGACTCCTGCATAGCTTCCGTAACAATTTGAATGGCTTCAGACATGTTAACACCTTTCATCCACAGTTGGGATGCTGCTTTGTACAGTGCTTGTTGGCTCCGAGCATTTCTGTATCTCCTAGCATCATCGGCTGAAGGCCTTTCCCTCACCAACTGCAGTCGGTTTGGTACCTCAAGAACAGAAGGCCATAGATGTTTTTTCTATCATATTTGATGGCATCAAATCAACGATTATCATGGAGCCATATGGAGGCAAATGTATGTCACTGATCAAATTTGCAGTGGCTGGCTTAGTCTCTGACGGCTTCCAAGCACCGTCCTTGCACCACTGGCAAGGCAGCTGACGGCCCCATGGTGGCACCACACTGCGGCAAAGCCCTCAGGGACTCAGGGAGGTGAGACGAGCACATCTCGAATGTAATGAAAAAAATATGCAGTGAACATTTCATTTCGTGTTTAAAAGAAATTGTTCGTAAACCCGTGCCAGCTTGTGTCAAGCAAAGTGGTGCCCACGAAACCATAGGATAAATCCTCCAGGCACCGTGCAGCTTCGTCCATATCAAAGGGATCTTTACCTCAAGAACCCCTACCAAGTGACACGCAGTGAAGTTCTATCATATATATATATATAATTATTTGAAGAGCAATGGTTGATAGGATCTTGCGTGATATCATCCAGACAATCAAAAAACTTGGCCCACTACGCATCAAGGTGGCATATCTTCGTAATGCCTTGTTCTCATCTGACTGGGGGTTCACCGGCTTCTCCATGAAGACTGCGGTCAGGTGTTGAAAGTTCAAAATCGTAGGCTCAAAGTTTGGTGATGCTATATGTATATATATATATATAGATAGGTTTTGGGTTCTGTGTTGAAGTCGTGCAGAATAAAAATGATTTTCAGCCAGTGCCTGGAGGGCAATCTCCTTGTGCTCGTTTTGCCACCGAGGCTGGCAAAAACAAAAAGATCGTGGGCTGCCAAGTGTCATCACTCATCCATTGCTTGGTCCTGTGGCAGGTGACAGGAAAGAGGTGTTGAGTGTTAACAAGTTCAGCGTTTTCAAAAAGAAGACCTGTCCTCATGATGACATCCGATGGGCTGGGTGAATATTCTCTTTTGTCCCAGAATCGGGTATCCAGAGACTCCCGCTTCACTCCTGCCAATCCAACCCATGTGATGAAATACGAAGAAAAGTAAGATATCATTTGATCTGATTTGACATGAATTGAATTTCGAACCGATTTGAATGTCGAACTTTGGTGGCTCCTGTTGATCCAATCCTTTCCAATCGAATGCAATGAGGTGCACCTGGGCCACCGATACCCTTCAGCTTCGCATGCTCAAAGTGGTAGGAGAGCCAGTTGGTCCTCGGGATCTGTGGGATGGCTGGAAAAACAGTTGGGAACATGTGAAGTCATCCTAATGTTTTAAAAAAGTCAAAGCCCAACAAGGATAAAACCATGCACGATGATATGTATATATACAGTATATATATATATTTTTTATATATGTAAACATACATAAATAATAGACTTTTATATATATATATATGTGTGTGTGTTGAAAAGGTTCACATCTTTTTTGGGAAATCAATGCAAATCAGATTCCAATCCTTATAACGAGACAGCATTTCAACGCAGCGTGTGGGTTCATTCGGTCGGTTTTGAGGGCAAGCAAAAAATCCTTCCAGGCAAGTCTTGAAGGCTTCAGGTGTCCATAACTCAGGGTTCCGTTCCAAGTGAGCTCTCAACAAACTGAATAGGGCGTCAATGTCTTCATGAGAATGGCCACTACTCAAAAATGACAGTTCCGCTCCAGCAATTTTGTGAAGGGCTGTCCACATAGAAAGAAGCCTCAGAGTTCCAACGTTTTTGACTTCCTTGCTGCAGTTGTCAGCCTGCAGATTGAGCCACACGGACCGAAAATCGATCCTGGCTGCCATCTTGGTCAGGCCACAACACAAAAGTTCGGCTGTTCTGGAGCTCCCTGCAGTTATCAGGCTCGGTGACAAAGCTACCATCACTAGGTGGCCGTGCACAAGTAGTGTGGTGGAAGCCAAACGTGGTCTGTTGAAACTGGAAAATTCTTTGCTTGACATCGACCTGCTCCTAGGCCACGCGTGTTTTTGCGCGTCCATGCTATCTAAAATAGCACATATCTCAATTTCACCCAATGTTGTTGCACACAGCCTGCTTCGTGCACGAGCAGCGTAGTACACTTGTCTGTCCCTTTGTTGGCGCTGTAAATGCTTTTGAAGCATTGCATGTTGAGCGTGGCGCGCAGCTTGACAATGGCCCAGTTTTTTGACCAACAGTCTGTGTTTTATACATAGCGAACATTTCGAGTGGTGCGTTGCAAAGCGAATGCGAAGCAAATGCTGAAAGTCTGACTGCCAGACCTTGTTGTTTGCAAGGAGTGAACCAACCATAATCAAACTTCCCTTGGCATTTGTAACTAGTCCTTAATGATTGCTGTAAACTTTTCCCTCAAAAAGAAAAAGCAGCAAGAAAATGCATACAAAATCTAGCACAGGGTCGGAGGAAAAGAGCTTTCGGCTGATGTGGAGACCAGGGTTGGCTGCAAGACATTGACTGAAGTAGTCCCCTATGCTACCGTGTGGCAGGTGCTTGATCTTGGAACGGTCAATCTTGGGGTCATCTCGTTTGGTGGATCCGCTTCTGGGTCTTTTGTTGGAATTTAAACCATCAGGAATCGGCTCAGCGATTTCAACATAAAGCCCTGTCAAAAAGTTGTGCACAGCCAGCCATTTCTCTGATGGGGCCTTCTTCTCTTTCATCATGTAGCGGCCATCATAAGGGCAAAACTGTTCACCGTTACGAGCTGCCAAACTCAGGGTGTTGAATCTGTATTTTCCAATTCCCACCAACTTCATGAATCCTTTGTTGCAAACAGGCTTTCCAAGAAACCGGATGTGCCTGGAGCCCCGGCATGACTCTTCAGCTTGGGCTTGAAGTAATTTGAAGACCTGGGCGGGAACAACTTTGTTTTTGGCAAAGTCTGGGATTCAGTTTATTTCCACAAAACTGCTGTGTGAAAAGAATGAGACCCTGACGTGGTCATCTTTCTCGAGCTTTTCCATTTTGGCCATCAACTTTCGTTGTTTCAGCCACTCGTCCAAGACTAGCTGGTGCCGGAACTGTGAAAAGCAATCAGCTTTGCAACCACATTTTCCCCGGATAAGATTGGACAGGTTCTTCATACTGTTATTGGGACCACAACCCCCTCCTGCAGCTCTGATAATGCGGCCACGACCAGGCCGTCTGAGACTTGTTCTGCCACCACGAAATTTGGGCTTGGGCCCCGGAGCTGCTACGCAGTTTTGTGACTCATCGTCGCTCAATGCATTGATGGACGGCAACGTTGCCATCCTGTGATGTGTTCAAAAGATGATCTGTTCAGAAAAAGTTCATTGTGAAGCGGCTTGAAGATATATCCACCATCCATTGATTGATATTAAAATGGACATTTTGTATCTGACAGGAGGAAACATGGAACAAAGTATGGTCAAAGACTCTTTGATAATCTTTGTTTGAATTTCTTTGTTGATAATCTTTGAATGTCACGAACACATTGATATAAAAGAGTTTCGTTTGATTGAGAACCAAAGCAAGCAGTCAAACTATGCTTCCGCAATCCACAGTCCTGGCACAGGCTTTTCTCGGGAAGTTGGCCTCCTGCGCATTCCTGCGCGAGTGTTCGTGCAAGACTTGGTCTCCCATTCACTATCAAAATCTTTTAAGCAATGGCCCAATGACAATGGCTGATGTTGTCAGCGGGTACTGTTCCCAAAACAGTTCAAAGTTCAGTCACTGGCTGAGTAAACATTTTAAAATGGATGTTGAACTATGACAGTTGAACTCTGTCCTCGAGTGTGCGCACTGTGTCTCTGACAAGAAGCAGCCATTGCGGATCCCAAAACCGATAGTTGACAATTAGAAATTTGGAAAGTCATGATGGAATAGTTTTTCATTGCTAATTTGGAAAGTCTTAGTTACTTGGGTGAACGAAGGCTATGCTATAGAGATATCTGAAGATTGGCACGTAGAGTTGTGACAAAATGCAGTGGGAGCCATTTCAGCTTGATGTCAGTCCATTCTTTCCCTGATCTTGGGCCACCACCTTGAAGAATAACAGTGGTGTAAGAGTCATCTCCAAGGATTTCAATTGCCAGCTGTCACGAATTTCTCAGGTAGAACTGACAGGAAACAGGCCGGTGTCACCGTCACTGCCGAAGCCGGGTGACCAGGTGGTCCAGGGAAAAGAAACAGACTTTGAGTTTTACAAATGGCGGAGCGAATGAACATTAGTCATGTTTAAGCTGGCATCAGGCAGCAATGGTGCCTGTATTGGTTCATTGCAAGTTGACTCATGACAATGCAAGCTCCAACCAGACTTTAGATCACATACTTTTCACATCTCAGCTGAAGCCGAATTGAGGTCCCCGTCCAAAGGCAGCAGAATTCAGGTGCAGCACGATGGCCGTCGGGTGGGCATGGTGCAAAAATCACCAAAACCAATATTGAATTATGACCATCGTTCATGGCCCTGTGGGATTAACGCCACATAGAATGGAGACATTGGAGGCCGTAAAAGGCCATGGATGGCACTACGATATTTCCACATGTGGCCAACCTATTTTTGAACTCCTCACATCGGCTCGGTTGAAGCCATTGGTGCAGTGGTGGAACCTTCTGGCCCTTCATCCATTTCCTTTGGGGCCATGCCTTGAGATCATCGGCCATCATCATCTGGTGTCCCTGACAGTTAGATATGTTTGATTCTATTGCTGCAATTGTAAGCCCACTGATTTTGAAATGGTAACCCTGGATTTTAAATGCCAAACTGTGCAACACATTTTTCTCTGTGGTTCTGAGTCCTGGAAAAAGTTCCATTCAGGGCGAGCAAGGAGCATGAAGACCCGCTGGCGCCAAATCTAAGTTCAATTCAGTTCACACATGTTCACACTTGACAAGATTTTGATTTGGCAATATTTGGCAAAACCCCACACCCAATGAGCTTCCAACTGGTGCTCCAACTTGATGTCCGTTCACAGAGCAGTACGTAACTCGGAGGCCGCGTTCACTGGCTGCCTGGCTCGGCGAGAGCAGGGAAGGGATCTAAGGCCTGTTAGGTCATGCATGGGCCTCTTGGATGTAGTCCATGCAATCACGGCATTTGCTCGAAAGAATCGAACCCACATTCTCTAACAAGAGGAATTTCCTTGGATCATCATTGATAGCTGGTGGCTCCGGGTTTCAAACTGTGCCATGTCAGTTGACAAGATACTGAATATGCATGTTATCCACTGTCCAACAAAATACATTGATTTCTGTTTTTTAAAGTTCAAGGCTCATTGGTTTGCCCATAGTTTCTCTTTCGTCCCACAATCTGAAGACATGTTTGATCAATACTGTCCTTGTCCCCTGCATCGACATTTGGTCGCCGGCCGTGCTCACATCCTGGGCAGGGAAAGAATCCGCAGATGGTCACTGAGACTGCTGACGTTGACCTGGCCTGGCATGGGAACCCAGCTAGATATCCATCGATATCATCGCCGAACTCCCTTCCAGTGACCTGTGTGATGTCCTCAAAGATCTCCCCAGCATCAGCCAGACCATCTTGGATCCTTGCTTGGAGAACTGCCCTGCAAAAGGGGCACTTCTCAACCTTGGTTTCTTTGAAACATTGGATCACAATAAATCAACTGAATCAGAAGCTTTGAGTACCCCACGTAGCTCTTGACTTCGATAAACCTTGTGCGATCATGCTATATCGAAAACATTCAAGAAATATTGGACGTTGAGATGATCTAGTTCATGTATTAAGTTTGCAATCGTGTTTGCAAAACATTTCAGAACTGGGCCCCGCACTGGCGGCATCCCAATTCAAATCCCATCACCCCTGAAAACAGTGACGCCACTTTGTGCTTGGTAGCCTCCTGAGAACTGCTAATTTTCCACTCGGGTTGGTCCCCCAAAAAAGGCCCCCACAAGTCCCAAAATCTTTGATAAAATGCAGGGAAAATTCTGTTTTTTGGGGACTTGTGGGGGCCTTTTTTGGTGAACCAACCCAAGTGGAAATTTGCCACAGAGAAATTTGCATTTAAAGAATCGACCAATCAAATAAAATGATAGCTCACGATGGTTTGACGTCATTTTGGACCAAAAACTAGTGGATACTGGTGGTGTCTCCTGGTTTTTGCACTGGCGAAGCCATGGGTAGATCACATCCAATGTGTCCTTCACACTTCCAGGTTGCGGGCATGTCCATCCAATGGGCAGACCTTTGGCGTGGAGGTGCAATCTGGTGGGAATCTGATGGTAATCATGTAAAACTGTCAAAACCAACGCACACAAATACACACTCAAAGCTTTGGGACCCCAAACCGGAGAGGTGTTCAGCAGTGGCTGGGCGCATGTAGATGCCCTTCTTCACATTGTGGGACTTACACTGCTGTGTGAACTTCTGCCACCAATAAATTTGGTTTGCGCAATCCTTGGAACTTGGAACCGGTAACCAATTCAGATCCCACTGAGTGGTATTTGCATTTTGTTTATCATGATTTTTGTTTAGAATATTTTACAATCAACTGTTGACTCATGCATTTACATGAGAACTGATAGTCAGTACACTGAGAAATTGGCACCGCTGCCACGCTTCGACAAGAAGTTGGGGTTTGCCTGCACCGTCGATCCAAAAAGTCCTGGGCCAAGGCAACGGTTTTGAACCCAACGCAATGTCGGGGCACCTGGGGGCATGACGGATTGTCCCAAATGCTTTCACGACCATAGGCTTTTGGACCAATGTCCCTTTCGATGGCAACCTAGACCCAGCTTTTGGTTTTCTTGGTGGTACCTGGGCAACCAATTTTCATTGTGTCAAATCTTGACAATTACTGTTACTAAACAGAATGCAAACGCTGCCAAAGATCCAAATGAATCTCATGAGGGATCCAATCCACTTGCGGCAGGAACCAGGGCTTGTGGAAACGGATGGGCCCACCTTTCCAGCTTTCACCACAAGCTGGCAAGCGGCCAGCCTGAACGCATTATATTATATAGATGGTATGAGTCGGCATGGGTTGGCATTAAACTGCATTTGGTGACATCGGATGGCATTACAGCATTTCAGATAAAATTTGCCCCAAAGAAACCCAAAGCCAATCAAAATCACATTCTGGGGACCCGAGGCCTGGCGAACGTCACACGGATTCCTAGGCATGGCAGGCAAGAAGAGGGATCGTTCAAGCAATGGGATTGGTTTGAAAACTTGAGAGCCTGGCTCATCGTGCGCAGCAGGTTGTGGAGCCATATCACAACTGAGATGTCCAACAGGGTTGGTGACTAAATATGTTTGAATTTTGAATTGATGTTTCAAAAACCAAAAGTAAACAATCTAGGGTGACTAGGATGTGTATCCAGTTGCTGGGTTTCCAACTCACTGAGTTCGTCGACGGCATCCAATGGCATGGCGATCTTTGCACGAATGAGATATACTGAAAGCAGTGCACAATCACAGGAGATACTTGGAAATACGGTATGTTGACTGTTTCGCGAGGAAATCCCAATCAGTGCAGACTTCATACGTTCTGATATCTATTATTGATTTTTATTCCTGTATGTTCATGTGACATGAGCCGATCTGATGTTGAGTTCAGCACCCAAGTCATGTTCAAACCTGTGCATGGCAGGTGCACGACATTCGATTGGCTGACATTGCAACCTCTTATTTTCTCCCCTAATGTTGCAAAGTGCGACGCGTCCATTTAACGCATCACGGCCCTGGAACTGTTTCCGAAGACCCTTTTCCAATTAGATCCTACTCGAAGTTGAAGAAACAAAATTTACAAGCTATTGGATGGCAGCTAGGAAGTCCAAATCGCACCCATTCTGTGCATTATCACATTGCCTGGCGGCTTCCCCAATGATATCAGAAACTGACACAAAAGTGTCAAGAGGGTCAGCATCCTCCTCGCATGCCCTGGCCAGGAACGATTCAACCTGAGCACGGCGGCGAGCTGTGTGCACAGCAGCTGAAGGCTGCTTGCAAGAGATTGCAAAAGTAGTCATTGACACATGCTTCAGATTCTGGTATGAATTTTAATGCAAATAAGATCAAAATCATTGGGATCCCAACATGAGACAGGACGGTGGCAATGAATGCCTTTTTCTTCAAATTTTTCTCCTTCAGGGCATGTTGCAGTGACACTCTGTTTCACTGCGTGCTTTGGGTTTCACTGCATGCTATGCGTTTCACTGCGTCATGTGTTTCACATTGTTTCACTGCGTCGTGTGTTTCACATTGTTTCACTGCGTCATGTGTTTCATGCGTCACTGCGCACAGTGATCCAGATCCCCACAGCCATGA